CAAAAACATTTGATTGGATTTCATTTCTAGAGCTAAAGACACAATGTGAAACAGTCTCCAAGGAACACTAATCTGTTTTCTGGGACAGAAAAACATCACTGTATGCCTGACACACAGCACCCAACCTGGGTCTTCAGGGCTGTTACCAAACGCACCCTTCCACACACAAACCTAGCAGACACAAGAGAAACTCATTGAAAAAGGATTCCTCAAAAATTCAAAGGATAGACATGAGCAAAATACCTAACCAGATTTCTGATGTTGTTACATATATGCAACAAAACAAGCATGCTGGAGGACAGAGTTGAAGGATTTAAACTTCTTTAATTGACAAGCTACTTTATCTCTGTCTTGCTACTTGGAATGATACCACAATCAATCCTGGATTGGGTGTGAGATGTAGAGAAAGAAATAAAGTATCGTAATCCAAATTCAAACTACCCAGAAATAATCTTGTGGGGATGGCAGCAGGAGGAACTACAGAGCCGCATTAAGAGAAGGACACCGCTAGCCCACTTGAGCTGAGAGATTCACCCCAGCACTCCTCCTGGAGCCAGTTAATTCCAGGGCTGGCCCTGAACCCGTGTGACCTCGCCTCCAGCCCACAGTTTCCACCCCGTTGAAGCTCAAGTGTAGCCTCTACTTGTGTCTGCTCTTCTGAAACCTCCAAAGAGAATCCAAGATCCAACTCGGACCTGGCGGGGACGAGTGAGGCCCCCGGCACCTCCCGTCTCTCTCTCAGAGGGCACCCGAGGAGCTGCAGCGTTCTTACCTCCCCATGGCAGAGGAGGACGTCACAGGTTGGTTGCCACGAGGCCTCTTACAGCAGAGTGAGAAAGGAGAATGTGGTTGCACAACAAAACTGTGAACCATGGATACGGCTCGCTGAAAAGCCACTGTGCAGAGTCAGGCAAGCTTAATCTCCTCACCATCTTTTACTAAACTCATTCTCTAATCTGGAACCGACTCAATATTTGCAGAACTATGCTAGTAATTTATTTGCCTTTCCTCGTTCAGTACCATCTGCCTGAAGGAATCCTTCTCTCATAATTTTATAAACAGCAGGTCCCAGATATTTCTGTGCACTGGAATCACCCCTGGATCTTTTACAATTACTATGCTAATGCCTGGCATCCTATGCCATAGAGTTAAGTGGCTAAAAACACCACTCCAGTTTTCTAAATTCAGAATTCTCGGGGTGACTTAATATGCAGCCCATTTTGGTTTAATCTCAGCGTGAAGGTGGGGCAATCACACAGCTTGTTGAATGGGCCGAAAGCTGTTGTTCTCTTATTCCAAGCGCTTTCAGTTAGATACAAAACCTGGAATAGAATTTCATGGGATTCACAGACCCCAAGAAGCGAAAGAGGGAACCCTTCATGAGGGTCTTGTGGCTTCCCAGATACAGCAGAGGACTATACAACCCCAATCAAGGTGACGGGCGCTCTATACTCTCCAAAATGGTGCTGATCCTTTGTCTTTATCTGTTTGTGCATTAAGAAAACACCTGAGACTGAGTCATTTATAAAGAACAAATACATTTCTCAGCTTCTAGAGTCTGAGAAGGCCAAGATCAAGGAGAGAGAGAGATGTGCTCTCTGGCGGAAGGCAAGAGCCCAACCCCATAATAGAGACCCTCGACTGCAGTGGTGAGGACCTCATCACCACGAAGGTCCACGTGGAGTGCTGACGCCCTGGGGACTGAGCTTCCGGTGCTTGTAGGAAGGACTCAAACATCCCAAGTCCACTTCGGAGAAGCTCCGTCAGTAGCTAGGGTCACTAACTGCGACAGAGGGCAGGGCCAACAGAGTCGTTCCTACCCTCCTGGCGGGTTTGGGGGGTGTGCGGGCCCCGCCTGCCCTAGCAGCCTCCGGGGTGCGCAGGAGAGCACCGTGCTCAGCACCCAGCGGAGCACGGACCTGCGGGGCTGCGGGGAGCTCTGAGCGCAGCGTCTGGACGAGGAAGCCGGGGAGGGCAAAGAGGGGCCCTCACTGCGCTACAGGGGCGCCTGCAAACGCTCCCTGGGCCGCCGCCTGGATAGGGTGGCCTCCGAGGCTTCTCAAAGTCCAGCCTGGGTGCTGGGGTGGGACCAAGGGTTCCATCCACTCGCAGCCTCCCCTCGTTTCTCCGCCTGGCAGCTTCGCCAAGAGGCGCGCACACCTCGGAGCTGAGCTGCGGCTTCCTGCCTGCGCAGGGGGCGCGGTGGGCGCCCTGTTCCCTGAGCACCTTGGGGACCTGCTCCCTTCCGGGGCCCCGCAGGCCAGGGTCTGTGCAGACTTCGCTGGGCCGTCAGCTTGTGTTAGACTTCGTATCACTGCGGCGACAGCTTTACTTCAACCGTAATTGGGTTGGGGCACATATTTGAATATACCTCACACTTTTTTCAACAACCATGCGATAAATTATCCTCATTAACCGAATATTAGCCTTTTTAAGACTCAAACCTGTTCTTTCAGCTCTGCAGTTTGGACTACAGAGATTTTATATTGTCCTAAGGCAGGATTTTTGCCGCTTTTTCCTTCCACTAATCCTAGGCAGTCATGAGGTGGGGCCTGTTCTATTTAAGGCTGAGGTTGGCACTGCTACCGAAGATACCGTTAGGTTAAGTGACTGAGCCCAGACCAAACAGAAGGCGTTTTGAGTAAACATCCAGGCCCCTTCCCTCTCTGATCTTCAGTTACTAAATGAGCGGGTGACGTGTGCAAGGTGCTTGGTTGACATGAAAACAGTCTGTGTGGAAAGACAGAATATGGGTATTTAACCTCTAACAGTCAGAAGAACTGACTCTCTGCACTATTCTGGACAGAGCCGAATCAAATGTCCCCATAAGGTCCAACACTGAGCCTAACCATTGGATTTGATTCTATTTGTTTCGATTCTTCTCTAATTCGGTTTTTTACCACAATCATAGAATTGTTTGTGAACCAAGGTACCACTGTTGTTTTCTGAAGAACAGAATAATAAATACTCTAGGAGATTACTTTAGGAGGAATTTTCGTAAATGCATTTTTTTTAAAGTGGGTTTTTAAAATATCTTCCTTCACTTTTATTTCTTGAAACAGGGTCTCAGTAAAGTAGTTCAGGCTGGCCTTGAAGCCATGCTCTAGTACAGTCTGTGCTCAAACTCACAGCGACCCTCCTGCCTCCAAACCCTGAGTGCCAGGGATGCACCACCATTCCTGGATTTTGATATCTTCCTTCTCACATAGCAAGTGATACCAGCGTTGCAATTAACAGTACTTACAAATTCAAAGAAATATCAAGGAAATCACATTTCAGTTAGCATATGGGTGTGGCGGAAATCATGACAGTGGAAGGTAAATACCTTACATTTGGAAACATTTTCCTTAGAAGACAAGTTACAAGTTCAAATCAGAAACTCATACTTCAATTGTGGGACAATTACCCAGAACATAGAGCTTATCATATTTTCACAAACCGACTTATTTAATTCAAATATCTTACCAGTTTTCAAAATTAATGCTTATTGTAATTTCACAGACGAAGCCAGGACTGAACCATTTCTGAAAGCAGCACACGTGGTCACTGTCAGTCACCAGACACCAAAGGAGTCTTAACCCACTCTTCTGTGCCTTCCGTCTGCTAGGATATGTTTATTTTTCCCCACACATATAACAGCATCAAGATTAAATATTCTATGAACATCTTAGTCATCTAAACAATCATCTTGGAATCCTTTTACAATTTATTTCTACCCGGCTCTTGATTTTGCTTTTTATTTTCAAGCAGAGGTGGGTGAGATATAGGAAAATAAAGGATATTGAAATGGTTGATTTTTTTTTTTTCTTTTAGGTAACAAAACTAGTGGCAGCCTACCGTAGGAGGAAGTCTATAGTCAGGGTGAAACAGGTTAACATTTCCTATTTGTTATAGAAAGGTCCTCTGTTCTTTAACTCACTTCCCCAATAAATATTTGTGCAGTACATGAGCTGCTGGGTCAGTCCCTCTGGCACCACATCCAATTCAGAAAGATTGGATTTTTTTTTTCATTGTTGGAGAGGTGAATTCAGGACCTTATGCATGCTAGACAAGCACTCTATCACTAAGCTGCACCCCTGGCCTCTGGAGCTTTTAAAAATATAATCAGGGTTGGGCTGGGGACTTAACTCAGTGGCCCCATACCTGCCCCACAAGTGCAAGGTCCTGAGTTTGATCTGCAATACCACAAAAAATATTTTTTTTATTAAAAATTAAGGTTCTGAGCCAGGTGTAGTGCAGCCTGTCTGAAGCTCTAGCACTCTGAGAGACTGAGGCAAGAGGATCACAAGTTTGAGCATAGCCTGGGCAACTTAATGATTTAGTGAGATCCTGTCTCAAATAAAAAATAAAAGAAGGGCTGGAAATGTAGCCTAGCAGTAAGGCCCTAGGTTTACTCTCAAAAACAGACAACAAAAGATTCAGCCAGTTATAGTGGTGTGTGCCTATAATAGCAGCTACCAGGAAGATTGCAATTTGGAGGCCAGCCTGAGCAACTTTAGTGATATTGCCTGGAAATAAAAGTTTATAAAGGGCTTGGTGTGTAGCTCAGTGATAGAGTAATTGCCTAGCACACATAAGGCCCAGGGTTTAATTCCTAGCACCATATCTCCCACCTCTAAAAAAACAGGAGGCTGAGGTAAGAAGACAGTGTATTTGAGACTAGCCTAGACAACACAAGACCCCATCTCAGACAAATGTTTAAGTTCATATTTAATGGCTTTGTGATACCCCTGCAAACTTTTACTTTTAAGTCTCCCATACAACTTTCCTTGAGGCAGAGGTTTTGAGGGCTAGAAACAATCTTCCATGCATCAGGAAATCACCAGATGACAGGGCCACCCCTTAGGACACATATTTTAAAATTAGGCTTTTAAATTTTTATTTTAAGTATAACTTAGAGGGCACAGTTTTCATTGTCAGACAAAGCCCTTCTGTGTGATGTGGGAAGTAGAGAGGAAAACAACAAGCCAAAGCGTACTTTCCCTCTCTCGACAGTCGCCACAGAATCCTGCTGCGATCCCTGGTGAGTGAAGGAGGACGGCCTCATACACCAAGCAGGAGATCAGCTGTCCAGTGGATTCCCCAGAGGACACAGCTGGGTGTCCTCTCGTGCAACTGAGAGTTGCAAGCTTAAGCTTCCAGAGCTTTTGGACAACCTGCCATAAATTGAGGTTCTTATAATTCCTTTCCTAAGCTCGTTTAATTTGCTGGAAAGATTTGCAGAACATGGGAAACACTTTATTTGTGATTAACGTTTATTAATAAATGATGCAGATGAACAGCCAGAGGCAAAGATGTGCAGGTGAGGCTCTCAAGGGTCTTCTATCTGTCTCAAGCTGGGTTGGGCCACCCTACCCCTCTTACACGGATATATGCACTGGGCCAGAAGCTCACCCAACTCTATCTTCTTGGGGATTTATGAAGCTTCGTGTTGTAGGCATGATTCATTACTGTACATCATTAGCTACTGGTGACCGATTCAGCCTTCCTGGATGTCGGGGAGGAGGTGACTGAAAGGCTCACTCTCTAAGCCAGTGGTGGTGAAACTATGAACAAAATGTGTTCATGTATTAGAACTGTTTGTTCTAAACTAAAACCTCAGGCTTAATTACAGTGCTGGCACTTTGCAATAATTAAGTGGGTTTTGGGTTGCAGTTTGGCACTTGGTCTCTAAAAGGCTTACCAACACTGCCTTAAGTACGACTCGATCTTCCTGTGACCAGCCCTCATCTGGAGGCCCCCAGCCACCAGTCCTCTTGTGGTGTACGAAAGACACCTATCACTTTGGAAATTCCAAGGACTACTCCGGGAAGGATATAGGACTCTATTAGAGATCACAGGTACACCATGCTGTGAGGTTTCCATGGACCATGCTCTTTCCCCAAATGCCAGGAAATGGCATAATGGAAACCAGAATTCTGATCTCTTTGTTGATCAAAGAGTGTCTGTGTCTTGTTCTAACTTTTACATAAAGACACAGAGGTGGGCAGAACCAAACTGTATATATTTGTTTTTTACCCAGTTAACTTATTTTGGGGTCTTTTTTTGATTCCAAAATTGTGCTACCCTGCTAGACAGTCTTATTGCCTGAATTATCACTGTGAACATGGTGTGTACCCTAATAGTTTGATGTTGTTATATGAAATAATTCCCTTTGGTCTCTTAAAAAGTCTGTAAAGCAGTAAATTTTGAAGGGACTTAAATATATTTAATAGTGGTTAAAGTGGTAAGTCATGTGCCCTTTTTTAAAAATCAAGAGTGTGTTTTTATATTAATGGCTATAAATGATGAAAGGCTGAGAGGAACCATTGAATTCCTTATCTGCTTTTAGATGGACCAAAGACTAGAACCCCCTTAACAGATACTCAGTTGGTTATCCTTCTGGGAAACTGGAGAGAATGGACAAAAATGGCTATTTCCAGACTGAGGTAAGAGATGGGTGATGTTGCTAAGGTCCAGGGCAGGATGTAGGACCTGAAAGCTCAGGGCGCTGAAGTAAGAGCTTAGTGACAAGACCACATTGTGCAAATGTAGCAGTAGGCTGGGCACCCATCATTTCAGGAAAGATGATGTGCAGCCAGGCACTGGCACACAACTGCCACCCCAGCATCTGGGAGGTTGAGGCAGGAGGATCACAAGCCTGGGTAACTCAGCATCTTAGCAAGGCCTTGTCTCAAAATAAATGAAAAACAATTTTTTAGGGGTTGGGGAGGTAGCTCAGGGCAAAGTTCCTTCAGACGTTCTGTCACCTTCCCACAATCGTAATCTGTGTGTGTGGTGAGAACACTGGAGATTTAATCTTTCCAATACTCAGTATATCTCACAGTGTTGTTAACTATAGTCACCATGCTGTATATTTATTCTCCAAAAATCATTCATCGTATAACTGGGAGTTTGCACCCTTTGACAAACATCTATTTCACCCACAGGCCCTGTGGCCCCTTGTAACATCTGTTCTGTTTCTATGGATTTCAATTTAATAGATTCCACATAAAAGTGAAACCATTCAGGGCCTTTTTCCCTGTTGTTTGGCTTATTTCACATACCATATCTTCTAGGTTTATCTATACTGCTGCAAACGATAAGTTGTTCCTCCTCTCCCACCCCCGCTCCTCTTCTTTTTTGTGGTTCTGGGACTGAACCCAGGAACTTTCACAGGCTGGACAAATGCTCAACCACTGAGTTATACACCGGCCCTCGGATTTCCTTTCTTTCAAGGCTGAATAGCATCGTGCACGTGCACGAGTGCGTGCATGTGTGTGTGTGTGTGTGTGTGTGTGTGTGACCTATTTCTACCCATCAGTGTCACTTAGGCTATTCCCACATCTTGGCCATGGTGAATAAGGCTGCAGTGAACATAAGGAGCTAACATGTCTTTAAGATGCTGATTTCATTTTCTTTGGGTACACACTCAGAAGAGGAATGGCGGTGACACATGGTAGTTCTATTACTGAAAATAATAGTTGTTTAACCAATTATCACCTGATTATTGAAAACATGTTAGGCTTCAACATTAAAATAATCTTTAACTCTTAAAAATTACCTTCTTAAGTAACTAAAAGCCTATCAATACAAAACATGAGATTATCTTGATAAAACAAAACCTTTGTTAGTCAAGTTTTTTTTGGTTTTTCTTGGTACTGGGGATTAAACTCGGGTCCTTGCGCTTGCAAGGCAGGTGGCAGAACTGCTGAGCTAAATCCCCAGCCCTGTTAGTCAAGTTTTTGAAAGTTTAACCAATAGCATTTTGATATCTTAAGAAAATCTTATTGCCCTAGACATAAAAATCTTTAACTTTTTATAGTAGTCAATTTAATTATATATGACAATAATTTCTTGAAAACTTTTGTTGGGATGGGGCACAATAAGGCTGGGGAAAACTGGAAGAGCCACCCCTCAATGAGAGCAAGTGAGGGCTGAATGATCCTGGCAGGGAGGGGTTTTGTCCAGTAGTTGCTCAGGCCTAAAGGTCACCATATAGGAAACATTTTTATTTTATTTTATTTTATTGTAGAATTATGTTAGAGTTTTAACTCTGAGTTATCGCAATGGCAAGTCCCCGATGTGCAGACTTCCACCTACTCCACACCTGCCTTTCTCTTTGCAGTCCTGTTCCATCCCCAACATCTTCCTTGCCCAGGCACTTCACCCCCTACCGGCGACCTCAGCCCGGACTCGGACACGACTACTTTTTATGAACTACGTTTGATCGGGCTGGCCACCCCTCCTCACTCCACCTCTGCCCTACAATCCCTCCTCCTCGGTACCTTCAGCCACTCCTTCCCGCTCTCCGTCCCACGGCATCCTCACTCACCACAAGCAACACCACCCAGTCCCCTACTTCTCCACCGCACACCTGCGCTCCCTCTGTTCCCCCAGCCCCCAAACAGGACTGAGTTAACACCCACTGGTCTGCCTGCTCTTCCTTCCCCAGCTTACCCAGGGGAGAGAGAGAAGCAAGACTCGGAAAAGAAAGCAAAATCCTCTCCTGGCCTCGTCTATTTATATATCAACAACTTGTTTGGAAGAAAATGTAATGCTTAAGATCAGAGTTCAAAGACCAAATGATAGATTGCAGCCCAGTGCTGGCTACAGACTGGTTTCTCCATATAAAATCAGCTGTGATGCCCTGCCAGGCAGGAAGGAGAATCTTAAAAACCAAAACCAAATTATAAATTCTGACTAACTGACAAATGTACCTTTTGTCTTCAGTCTAAAATAATATTTGATTGGTGTTTAGTTTCCAGATGTTTAACTGATGTATTTAAAACATTTTCTACATTGTAAATTCTTGAATTATCATTATAGGATTAACTCGCCCTTCTCTCTACTTTCTGCTTACAGACTTCTGATAATAACTATAACACAAGATTATGCTACTATTGTAAAGCGCTTTTATTCCTTCTTATTCTAATTTCAAGAGATCTCTGTTATTTGGCCTCCAAAACTTTAGGCTCATCTCAATTAAAAGAGATGTTATAATTCGTTGGCCAAGTATATTTGAGTGCACTCTAGTTTCATAGATTGTCTTACATTTGTCTGTGTCTGCCCAATTTTTTGTTTGCATTTGTCCAATTGTATTTTTGATAAATGTTATTAAAGGTATGGCTTCCTTTTCTCCCAGGTTGCTAGATGATCAAAGTGATGTCAAAGATTAATTTTGATTGTAATGCATATTGCTGTCTACATTTAATAACTCAAAAAAATATATATATATTTTATTGGTAACAAATAAATTATTAATTGCTACAATCTGGTTTTACAGGTTACATAAAAAATTTTCAAGATAATTAAATGCAAACTTTTATATTTAGATAGACTTCCATTGGTGAATAAGGAAGCAGCTACTCATAAAAATTTATCCTGGTCGTTGTTCACTAATGGAAGCCCCAGTAATCTCCATAGCCTTACGGGAAGACACACCCCCAATAAATATTATTTAAATATGTTGTTATAAAATGTTTATATTGGTTATCATCAAAAGGATAAGTTCTAAATATGTCATTGTGATATGTTTATATTGGTCATCTTCAAAATACAAAATTTTCCGTGAAAAAAAAAAGTGTTATTAAAAAAAGATCCTTTTGGTACCAAGCTACATTATAGGATATAAGGTTTCACATAATTGTAATAATTATTACTACTTTTCTGGTGTACAAAATGTGTTCATGCTTTCTGACTATACAGATCTTCAAGCATACTGTTTATGGCAATAACCTCTTTTTGATCCACGTATTTGCCCTTCTCTTCTGCTCCACCTACTCATGATTACAGGTACATTTATAGGCCCATACGCTTTCCTTAGATGACATCCTATCAAAAGGTAATAATGTAAGTAAGAGTTTCCTGCAGTTTTTAATGTGTTTTTAGAGGAAGGTGAATACATTTAATTTAGTACTTTATACTAAGATACATATCTAAGTTTGTTACAAAGCTAATAACATCATGATTGTCATACTAAAATATGATGATGATGATGATGATGATGACGTGTGGTTCCTGAGTCAAAGTTTTTCTGCTAGTATTCTACAGGAAATCAACTAATAGAACAACCATGGTTGATAAAAATAACAGTCCTCTAGTTATATTTTAGATTCCACAATGCTTGCTATCCAGATAAAATTGTAATAGTTAAGTTCACTGCTCCTACTGTACTACTAATGTCACTGATTTGATAAGATTGGCTAAGGATTTGTCAATTTTGTTTATTCTTTCCAAAAACCAACTTTTGGCTACATTGATTGTTTGTATCATTCTTTTAGTCTCCATTGCATTGATTTCTGCTCTGATCTTTATAATTTCTTCCCTTGTATGAGCTTTGGGTTTGTCCTGCTCTTCTTTTTCTAGAAGCTTGAGGTTCAGCATCAGGTTGTTTAATTGATATCGCTCTGTTTTCCTAATATGAGTATTCACTGCTATGGATTTCCCTCTTTAAACTGCTTTCATTGTGTCCTGTATATTCTGATATGTTGTATTGTCATTGCCATTTAATTGTAGAAACTGTCTGATTTCTTCTTTAATATCCTCTGTGACCCATTGGTTATTCAGAAGTGTGTTGTTCAATTTCCATGTGCTTATGAAATTCTCTCAGTTTCTTTTGCTATTGATCTCCAATTTCATTGCACTATGGTCTGCTAATATACAAGGGATGGCTTCAATTCCTTTGCACTTAGTTAGACATATTCTATGAGTGAGTATATCTTGGTCATGAAAGTATCTATTTTGGAAAACAACCTATGTGCAGCTGAAAAGAATGTGTACTCTGATTTTGTGGGGTGAAACACTCTGTAAACATCTGTTAATTTGTTCAGGAGCTTGAGTTCTAGTATTTTGTGGTTTACATTTTGTCTAGTTGATCTATCTATTGTTATAGTGGGGTGTTGAGGTCCCCCACTGCAATTGTATTAGTGCTTATTTGATTTTTCATGTCCATTAGTATTTGTTTTATATACTTGGGTGCACCAGTATATATATATTTTTTTTTTAAACCATAACAAGCCTTTATGATGGGGAGGGTATGATGATGGGGAGGGTATGCCAGGCTGTCTCTGAACAGAGGAGAGAAAGCAATGTGGCTGAGACAGGGAACATTCTTCCAGGGTTGGGATGGGTCTTATAAGAGCTGGGGTAGGATGTAGGGATGTAGTGGCTAGGGATTGGGGGAGCTTGTGACATCACTAGAGGGGCTTGTGACATCACTAGTTAGGGCCATTAAGGTGAGGGAAATCTAACATTCCAGCATTTGTTTTATGGCTGTTGGGCAAAGGTCTCTTCTTCTGGAGCTGCTTCAAGCTGACAAAAGGGCGAAGGTTGGGGCTAAGCCTGGATCTGGTGGGGGCAGCGGTGGGTGGGGCTTCTTCCCTCTGCTGCAGTGGCCGATACCCCACCATGATGAGTTCTGTGACTGTCTGGTTGGAAAATGCCCTCCTGTGGTCCTGAAAGAAATTTTTGGAAACAGCAAAACAGACAGGAACCTATCATGATTAAGAGGTGTATACAAGCCAGTGGGCCCAACAAGGGAAGTAGCCAAGGCAGAATTTGGGGAAGCCAGGGATAGCTCTGGTCTATTCTCCAAGAATTCCATCATCTCTCTTGCTCTTCGGTGCACTGCTGTAATTCTTTAATCATTGCTTTAAGAATCCCTGACTTGTTAACAAAATAACAGCGTTCTTCACTTAGCACCTGGCATGTTCCCCCTTGGGCTGCTGTCAGCATGTCAAGGGCCCTTCTATTTTGTAACACTACTGCTGCTAGAGAATTTATTTGATCTTGTATTTAAGGACTGGCTTATTTCATCCATGTCTTCTGAAATCTCTATGGACAGGGCCTGATAGAAATGTGTGGATGTAGAAATGCCCGCTATCCCCGTTGCCATCCCAGTGAGGATCCCAGCTCTCATTAAGAAGGGGAGTAGAAGGGGAGCTGCACTTTTTTGTTCTGTGGGACAACTTGTTTGGACATCTGGGCTTCTGTATAAATGATCATGGGAGGCCTAAGGAAGGATGTGTAACAGAAAACATCAGACTGAGGCTTCAGGATGCCTTTTGATTATATATGAAGTACAGGCCATTGGACAGGCAGATCAGACACTCATCTGAGATAAAGAGGGAGCAAGCAAGGCAAGTGATGTTGTCATTTTGCCCCGTGCATGTCAGATTAGTGGTTTGTGGGACACTCACAGTGAAGGGTCCCAGAATTGTGAATAAATTGCCAGTATCTGATAAAGACAGGTTACAATCTAGGGGGACGGGAATTGGAGTGAGCAAGTGGGGTTGAACAGACATACAGACCCGACAGTCTGAGATATTGACAGGGAGATGGTGGAGGGTGGTATTAAATAGGTGTCGTAGCCTTTTTTGAGAGTGGGTTATCTGGTTTACCACTTGGAGATCTATCCCTTTACAGGGAGGTGGCTGGTGGTCCTCAAAAGTCTCTCTATTGCTAGTACCTGTTCACTGACTGCCTCTTTGGGTTATTCTTTTCTGCTGGGTGTTTAAGATCAAGTTAAAGTGAGATCTGTGTTAATCAATATGAACATCTTGCTGTCAAGGTCAGTTGAGTCTCTTTAGGTATATTTTGGAGCCATGCATAGAGCCTCTCAGCTCCTGTCAGTGTCAGCCATTAGGATGGGTCATGAACCTTGCTTGTCCAAGTTGCTTTCAGTGAAAGTGTGGGAGATTTTTTTCTCTTGGTGACCCTCTTTTGGCACATGTTACATTTGTCCTCTGGGGTCCAGCAATCTCGCTGCTCAGGAGGTTGGGTGACTTACTAAAGATGTAAGGCATTGTAGAAAAGGTTACTCCATACCTTGGATCTTTGATGCCTTGGAGAGCCAGGGCCAAAATATTGGTGGTCTTCTTAGTTGCACAGTATTTATGATTGTCATCTCTTCCTCTTGGATTGTTCCCTTTACAAAGAGGTAGTATCCTTCTTTGTCTCTCTTAATAAGTGTTGGTTTGAAATCCACTTGATATGCAAAGAGGATAGCTACCCCTCCTTTTTTGGGAGGTTTTTATTGTATGGAGTATTGTTTTTCACCCTTGAACTTTCAGGCTATGAGTTTCTTTTTTAATTAAGTGTGTTGCTTATATACAGCATACTGTTGGATCTTGCTTTTTGACCCATTCTATTTCTTTTGATTGGTGAAGCGAGATCATTAACATTGATGGTTATAACTGATACGTATTGGCTTATCCCTGTCAGGATATTTTCTTTTTGTTGGATTCTCCCACTTTGCATTTCATTTCTTGTCATGCTTGATGGATTCATTCTTCTGGGCTTCCTGGGGTTGTGATCCTCATTGTCTTTTCCTAGGATATTGTTTAAAACTTTTTAGAGTGCTGATTCAGTATTCATGAAGTTCCTAAGGTGCTCTTTGTCATGAAAGTATCTTATTTCCCCATCAATTTGGAAAGATAGTTTTGCAGGGCACATCAATCTGGGCTGGAGACTGATTTCCTTTAGGACTTGAAATAGATCACTCCAAGCTCTTCTTGCCTTGAGGGTTTATGCTGAGAAGTCTGCTGTGATTCTGATGGGCTTTCCTTTGTATGTGATTTGTTTCTTTTCTCTAACTTCTTATAGAATTTTGTTCTGCTGTTGGGTTTCTAGAATCTTAACTATTATATGCCTATATGTATATTTATTAAATTGCAGCTAGTTGCAGTCCTATATGCCTCACTTGTCTTTATATCAAGTTATTTTCCCCTACTTAGGAAGCTTTCTGCCATTACTTCTGTGCAGGTTTTTTTTTTTTTTAATGTCATCTGCACCATCTCCTATTTCTGGACTCTGATTAGTCTTATGTTATTTTTCTTTGTATCATCTAGCAGCTGCTGGATTACTTTCTCGTGATCCATTACTATTTTTAAGAAATTTTTACTTTCTTGGTCACTAATTGCAACCCTGTGTTCTATATCTGAAATTCTGTCCTCACATTGGCTCATTCTGCTGCACAACTCTTAGTGGAGTTTTTAATCTCCTGGAAATCTGTTTGCACCTGTTTTGTGGATTCCATTAGTTTCCTATGTTGGGATTCCAGCATGTTCCTCAGCAGCTCTTTTTATCTGTGTCTGTTCTAGGTCTATTAATCATGGCTTTCACTATGGACACAATCTCTGTTGTTATCTGGGAAATTATTTCTGATTTCATTTTTTCCAGATCTTCTTTTGTTGCCAGTTCAGGGCGTAGCAGATTGCTCCATCTCGTTTCCCTTTGGGGTTGCCTTAGGTCATCTGGAAGTCTGGTTTTGAAACTTATTTATGTGTCTTCTCATTTCAACAGATGCAGCCTGCTGTGCCTTTGCGGAGGCAACTTTTTGCTCACCCAGTGGTCTTCAATTCTCAGCAGGCCACCAAGCGGCCTTTCCTCTGCTGCTCACTACTGCACCAATTCCTGGGTTCAGAATGGCTGCCTTCTGGATCCCTGAGCTGACCCACTGTCCAGGCAGGCTTCTGGCTGGGGCCTGTGCACAGTTGGGATGGTATTTAGGTTGCCTCTGGCTGGGGCCTGGCCCCTATATAGCTGTTGTCTGGGAGGGCTTTTGGCTGGGAGCTGTGCACCCCAGACCTGTGACTGAGCAGGCTTCTGGCTAGGGTCTCCACACACTTACCAGTGATATCAGGGAGAGCCTCTGGCTGTTGTTTGTGTACCTGTGCAGCTCTTTTCTGAGCATCCCTTTGGCCTCAGACTGTGTGCCCAACCTGCTGGTGTCTGGGCAGGGCGCTGGCTGGATCTGCCTGTAGCTGCACCACTCTGGTCCACACTGC